GGCAATTCGTCAAAAAGGTGGTCCACTTAGCGGTGCCGCCACCCCACATGCACTGCTGAAATTTGACCTCGAAAAGCCCGAACCTGTCAACAAGCTTCTTGATGCAAGGAACATGCCACAACAACGAATTGGATGGGTTTTCCAGCGAAACTCTGACGTTGGACAAGCAGCACAAGGACATGAAACTGCAAACATTGCGAAATACCTGGTTGGCAGACTGCACTCGCAAACGCTCTTCCTGGCTCATGCTTGGAACACCGTCAGGGTGAGAGATGGAGCGTAGCGCACGTGCCTTAGAGGACTTGCACAGCCGCAGGTGCTTTGGGAGCATGGCCGAGCGTGTCCGTTTGCATGTACCATACGGCAATGCCGCATGGACGTAGCACACCGTGTGAGAAGCGAAAAGATTTCGAAGCAATACGGCGCTGGATGGTTTGCTGAGATCCAGCCGCAAGGACTTGTGCAAAGGTTTTGCACGCTTCGCCACGTGATCCACTGACACAGTGATGAAACCGGATTGCCTGAGATGGGACGAAAGCCGACCGGCTCCGGCGCACAGCTCCAAACAGCACAGCTGGGACAGTTGCATTCCCTCAAAGGGCCTTGGGCTGGCAACTGTCATGGAAGCAGCTGAGGTCTCAGCGCTCAAATGTGGACCCGAGGACGAAGCCGGAAAATTAACCGAAGGCTCATACCGACACTCCTCACGAGTGAAAGATGAAGAAGAAGAACTGGCTGTACAAGGATCGTGGTGGCATCCCAATGTTTCATTGGGCGTGGAGGCTTTAACAGCCTCAAGTGGTCCGCTCCTCAGCGGAGAAGAAATCGCCCCCACTGCCCCTAGTCATGATGCTTGGTCATGCTCGGACAATCGGTGAGCCTTGTAGCATCCAGGTTTACAGCACACATGCCACCCTTTCGGGCAGCGCTGTCCTGGCTGAGCCTTGTCGCAGCCTCCCAAGTGGAAGTCGAAGCAGATGTTCTCTCCGTCCGCATTCACCGGCGACTGCCCAATCAACTTCTTCGGCATACGGATTGTTCTTTCCAAGCCTCCTTTCGGCTTGCCCTTACCCTTAGCCTTCGCTTGGAGGTTACGCACTTGCCCTTGGAGGTTTTTGATCTGCCTTTGGTACCGCTCTTCTGCTGACGAGGACTTGCCTCGTTTGTCAGCATTCTCGTTGTCTGCCGCCTTGCGTTTCAGACCCGATGCACTTGCAGATTGAAGCGGTTGAAGAATGAGGCGCACCTCTGGGGCTACCTTGGCGGTACGGAAGGCCTCTTCCAAAGGCTTGGCTCCATCACTTTGAATTTTTATGCCGTTTCGGGTCGCACGCATCATATGCTTGAAGAACTCCAAGTCTGCTTTGTGGATCTGCTCAATGCTGACCTGTGAGTAGCCTTCCGGGGCAGGTTGCACATAAGCGTCCAAAAGAATCTGCGACCACTCCTCCAGCACATCATATTCAATGATCCGAGTCTGATCGTATGCTAGCGACCGCCTTTGCAAAGCCCACTTAAGCATCAGATCTGAGGTCAAATCCGCCTTTATGTCCGACGGAATTTTTACCTCCTTGATGACGCCGTTTGAGTCGGGCTTCCACACTGGATCGGTCTTGATACCCATTAACTGCTGGTCACGCTTTGTGCACTGCTCCCAGCGCACGTATTTGAGCTGGTTATCTTCGACCTGCTGAGTCACCAGGTCGACCAATGCGTTCGATGGCTCCAACTCCCCTGTCAGACTCAACCCTCGAAGTCTGGTGACCTGCTCTGAATGTCGGGCAGCTCGTTCCGCAACCGCAAGCTTCCGTGGAGTGTCATCGTCCTTCCGTTCCACCCTGGACCTCAAATCCGCTGCTGCCATCGTGTATGCTTCGAAGACCAGTCTGCGGATGAAAGGAAGCCTTCCTGATGGAGCTGGATTGACTCCAGTGATTTTCGCTGCTAGTTCAAGAAGTGGGGTCTCATCCGATTGGCCAGGCACGTAGTTGCACGCAAAAGCGAAGGTGCCGAAGGTGTCGTGAGCATCAGCTTTCAGCACGTCGAGCTCTGCACTGTTAATGCCGATCTCCTTCGCCCTTGCATGAAAGGCCGCCTTTGAATCCAGCATCGGAAGCAGATCAAGGCAACAGTCTTAGGTGCAGAACCTAGAAAACGAACCTGCGGGATCAACCCAATCAACGCACAGTCACCCTTGCATCGCACACGCAGGTTACAATCAACATGCAACCTGCGTCACCTAACTCTTTTGCACGCAGACTAATCAGGTCTACGTGTCATGTCACGCCTCCGACACTCACCACACACATGCCGACCATAAGTTCAAAACGCAGAAAGGAACCCAAGTCAGGCCAACAAGCATCTAGACACCGAAGCACACTTTGCACTTTGGCCAAGCCAGTTCAACGTCACCCGTGAACTGCTTAAAAGCAGAAGTCTTATTCCTTCCGCAGGCCAATTTTGAGTCATCCTCAACATGTGCATAATGCAGTGTGCGTCTAGATTTGTGGCGGAACACCATGGTGAGTGCCGCATGGCGTGCTACATCCCGCACCCTGTCACCCAGGTGTGCGGATTGAATCAAGGCGTGAGTTGCTTCATCAGTCGACTCACTCGAACTACTACTGGATCGACAACTCGACGAGAGAGCATCTTCAACATGATCAGGTTCGGGCTCGTGCTCTCCATCGTGTAGCTCGCCGTCCGAAGCCGCGCACAAGTCCTCGCTCGTCACGGCGGAAACAGGAGACCAGCTGGAAGGATCAGTCTCAGGTAGCGCCCCTCCAAGCGCTGCAACGATCTCCCGTAAGCCCATGCCACACTCCTCCTCGATTTGAGTTTTGAGTTCTTTCACGGCTGTAGTTTTGGGGAAGAGTGCCCCAGGCCCAGCACAAGGGTCGAACTCACCCGAGCGTATCTCTGAGATCATCTTGTCTAGCCTTCTCATAGGAAATGCCAGCGCTTGTCTGGAGTATGTCACGGCTGAGAATCGGCCTTTGACCACGTGGTAGCCCAGGAGGCACTGGGTGTCGTAGTCGTTTTCCCACTGGTTATAAGTTGAAAGCCAAGTGGTTTTCATCGAATGTGAAGTGAAATCGGAGAACGAATGAAGGGGCAACACGTGGCCTAGAATCCTGTGCATCGCCGAAGTGATTTCAGTAGAACTCATACCCATCACATCTTCCTCGACACATGCTGCAGATGGTAGCATCACAAAATTGGTATCGTTGGTGTCACGCACGTGTTTCTTGCAAGGTAACTCAGGTAATCCCAAGCGCCTGCGTGCTTCCAGAAACTCACGTACCCAATCAGTGTTGAGTAACCCTACCCTCAGCACACATCCAGGCAAGAATGATCTCGCTTTGACTGCTGAGCGACTTGAGGTCTTGGTTGCAAGAAGCTCACATTCCAACAAATGGGCTTTTAAAGCCCCAGCTTTGATGCATTTTAGATCAGAAGCACGGAACCTGCCGTGAATCCCCATCAGAATAAGTCCCGCTTCAACTTTCGTCCTCAAATCATGAGCATACATAGCGGCTAGTTCAAATAATCCCACCATCCACGGCGGAAAGGCATCAGCCTGTGAAGTTGGTGCCTTCTTCAAGTAGAGAGCATGAGCTACCCCCAAACATCTCGAAGAGTTGATGCAATCGTCCAGGCCTGAGAAGCCCAGACAATGATGACAGAATCGCAGCGATTCCATGAAGGTGCTTGCTCTTGTGGCTGGCGAATTACGATCTCTCAGATTACACAAGTAGCGATACACCAGAGATTCCTGAAAAGAGGCACTGCTGCCTTCGCCCAACTCTTCCCGCAGCCAATTCAAATACATAGCAAGCGAGCTAGACCTGGTTTTCAAGGTTGATGTGCTCTTCCTAGCCACAGAATCTGACAGGATTTGTGCAAGCTGTTCTTTGGAAGAAGATTCTTGACCAGCATCCAGAATCTGACGTCCAACGACTGACTCTTTGCCGACATACAGGAGCAAGTCACATAACTTCTTGAGTGCTCTGGCTCTCTCAATGTCCTTGTCTCCTTCCAGCTGAACATGAATTTTCGTTGCCACTATCCGCTTGACTCTCGACATGGTTTGAAGTTCGACTTCGGGTGCGACATGGCTGGAAGCAGGAAGGTTCCTAGGAACTACAGGTCCCCTTAACCAGGGAACCGTTTCTCCAGCATTCAAGATTTTGCCGACAGCAGTATTCCCAGCCCACGGGAGCTGTGGTAACCCCACAAACTCAGTGCCGGAAGCTGTGCTTTGCCGAAGCAAGCCAGACGAATCAGTCGTCATTAAACTGTGGGTCACCCCCCTTAGATGAAAATCGCTGGAGAATTTGCGTAATCCGCAAAGCATTTCCCACCCACCCACCCTTTGAGAGTAACGGCATTCGAATGCCAATCACACATATCTCAGAGGGAGGGGACATGGTGATATTGATCGATNNGCGCGATGCACAAGTGCATGTAGCTCGTAAATCAAACCCTCCGCCGTACATGCAATCACTTCCCCCTGTTACTAAGCACCCCCCCCTCATAATAAAACACACATTGGGGCGAATCCTCCCGAAATCATCCCTGCCCTTTCAAACCTATTCTGAATTAGGGGGAGGGGTTCATGGCTCCAAATACCCTTAGAGCACAGTAGGAGCAAGAGCAAGAGCAGGAGCAAAAACGCGAGTATAAGGAATAGCAGTAGCAGCAAGAGCGCTATAATAGAAAGCGGGAGCAACAGCAAGAGCGGGAGCAGGCGAAAGAGACACAGCAGAAGCAGGAGCAAAAGCCAGCCAGAAGGACCCCTCAAAAGTGGCAGCAGAGATAAAAACTACCCCCTAAGAACAAACATACTTTCCGAGTTTTACTTGGGGGGGAGGGCCCCCCCCTTTAATATTTGGGGGAAACGATTACACGGGCTCCGTACCAAGTATGTGTGTATACATGCATATACACACACACACACTCGCGCACGCGCACACACACACACACACCAGAACGCTCAATCACCGGCAAGAGTCTCGCAAAATTTGACCAGTCACCAATTGCACCTTGCAGGGCCAACCCTGAATTAGGAGATGATCACTCTCGCAGAGCAAACAAGAAATCAAGCAAGGCATGCAAGCGCCTGCAGATCATAGTAACACTCGAAGGATTTGGCAGCCAAGATTAGTCCAGAACTTGGCACATCTAAGCGGTGGAGGAAGCCTGAGCATCAACCTACATCAAGAGCTGCTGTACTGTGCACAATCCAACTGCACCAGGTAACGCCGAACAGACTGCCCCAAACACTGAAGCTCTGAATGCTGCCCGCGTGCCATGCTCGTGCTCCTCATCGTGCAGAATCGGCAACTTATTGCCTAGGATGAGTACCCTTCATCTTCGCAGCGTCGTTCTATGCAGATGCAGGGATCCATGATCTACGCTGCAGCAGACAATCTTTACGGGGCTTCTGTTTTGGAGGCAAGGCCGGCTTGGTTTAGCTGCTTCGATTTGTGGCCGGGGCTTTTAGTCTTGCGTGGAAGCACCTCTGGCCGAGCTTGTGTGCAATGACAGCGAAATTGACAGGCACCATTAGCAATTTATGGACCTATGGACCACACGGATTACTGCACGTTCGCAATTAGATAGCTCTTGTTAGATTCGAGATTATTGAAGATCAGTTGTTGGAAGGACACTGTCAGAGACAGCAAGCTATAGTACTACATGCACTCGCTACGACACGAATTAAAGGTCCCAAACAACATTACAGCAGTACTTATTGATCTCGTGTGGATGTGATCAGATTCGATGAGGCTTGGAGGCGTTACTCGATGGAGCTTGAACTTACGCTCTGGCACAGAGTCTTAAGCAGCAGTTCCTGCTAACATCTGCTAACGATGCCAGGCTGGAGTAGCAATACGGTCAGAGACGTAGACTTAGATGCTGCTATGTCACCTCAGACTGATTACCGACGGGACTGGCGCCCACAGCTGGGCCATCGTCAATAGTTTATCACGCAAGGCACAAGGCACGAATCATGACTGATTAGTTCGAGCACGTCGCCTGGTGGGATACGAATGCAGGATTGAATTCACTAATGTTGGTGCACCCTCACATCACCAACCGGCACATACAGGTGGAAGGTCGCGTTGCTTTAAGTGCCACTGGTCCTCGATAATGATGCTGCGGAGTCCGTGTCTGACAGATGATTACACATCTTTATCTATCATGGTGGGCAGCTGATGCCTCACAGAACATGCATTGGTTCCTATCCTCCCAAACTATATCTCTCGTCCAAGTGGCAGAACATGGCAGACATGAAGCACGACAGCTGGGGTAAATCGGAGTTTTCGTCATGGACTTCATAATCTGCGGGCTTGAAGAGGACCACACCTGACTTGTGACCGGCACGGCTGCATGGTTGGCACACAGGATGCATTGCAGAGGCAGTGTAGATGTAGGTAGATTTGGGGTTGTCATCGCATGTTACATCTCACGTGCTCGTTGCAGCATGCTCGATGTCTTTAGCCATAGCTGTCGCGGCTACAACAACTGCGGGTAAGTCCAAGCGACTGTCCCAGGCATCCAACACAATCGCCGGCTGAGATTCATCATGCACCAAGCGCTGTCTTCCTGGCCACATCGCATACTTCTTCCGAACACTTTGGAGAGGCGAGACCGGCAAAGCAAGCTCAGGTGCCTGGAGTCTTTGGAACGATCGTCTCCTGAATGCGGTCCAACATTCCTGCCAGAGTGTGTCAGGTTATTGGTCGCGGATGCGCGCACGGGTTCACTGTTCACTAGTTTCTCCAATTAACACAGCGTGTAGTATAAATTGAAGGCAAGCTCACTTTTTGCATTGATGACTGATACTGCCTGATACGCAATCCTCCCTGTGTTCAGTAATTAACTACTGGAATGCCATGCCTCCAAATCGGAGCAACGCCGCACGAATTCGATGGTGGGCATCGGCCGTGAGGGTGCGAGAGAAGGTGCAGGCCCACAGCGAGCCTAGCTGCAACGGTGCCACATCCGGCTTCGCTGGATCAAAACTGCAGCCTCAGGTCTAGGCCCAAACAGTCCAACGTCCATGCAATCTGCATCGGCCTGGGCAAGCTCGCCCAGTCCTGTAGCGAGGACAAACTTCACACCACCTACAGTCCAGACTAGACACCAAGAGAAACCACACGACATGGTCCGGAGGTCGCCCAGAATGCGGCGCAAGCTTCAAGTTTGTCTAGTCTGTCCGCTGCTTCCCGCTGGAAAGCCAACTGCACCTGCTGGTCCTGGAAGAAAGCCGGCAATGCAAGAAGCCAAACCGGGTCAATGACGGACAGTGGTTGATACGCCATGGCCGCTTTGCACGCCACTGTCCTTCGCACTGCCGCATGCGCCCCAAAGGACCTGAGAAATTGAAAAGCCAAGCAGCTGGAAAGAACTGCTCCCCTTGCCATGTGCCATGAATGCCACCGACAGCATCCCAAGTCCGTGCAGGCGGCCATTAGCAGTTCGCTGAAACGGAATGCATCGACTTGTTGGCGGGCATACTTGCCTGTAAAGGTGCCACTGTTTGCCATCACCCTCTGGCGGTATTGCTGCTTCGATGAAGTCTATGCACCGTAGAGTCTGCAGCAACTGCTGAAGCCAAGGCGCTCAACGTTCTAGCAAAGGAAGGGCTTGTCACACCCAACTTGGCTTTCGGATGTTGTCAGTGCTGTGGCAAGGCTCAACTTCGCCCTTGTCACTCGGCTGTATGACCCACTTGGGGCCCGACCATGGAGGCTGACCACCTGGGCAACTTGAGTCTCCCGCGATCAGGTTGTAACCCATAGCCACCTACGAGCCTACGAGTCCAGGCCCCGAAGCCCTGTCCCATCCTGTTCGAAGGTGCCCAGGCACCAAAGGCTGGCCAATGCCATGGGTGTTGGTGCTTCGCGCCGGATCGCAGCAGCAGCCTGGAGCCCAGAGAAGACTCGTTCAAAAGAAGGCAAAAGCGCCGCGAGGACCCTCGGCCACGGCTCCTCGGCCATGGTTCCATGCATGTCTTCAGCACTGGCTCCGCCCATGGAGGCCAGGGCCCACGGCCTGCAAACATTCGCCACGGCACAGCTGGGAAGATTGCATCACAAGGCCAAGTCACATGAACGAGACAAACTGCGCCGAGGCGAGCTCCTGTCATGACGTGACCTACCTGGGCCTCTCCGCTACTGACATCGTGCAGTGGCAAAGCTGCACCAGCCTCGCTCTGACGAACGCACTGCTGCTCTAAGCATCCACATCTCCTCGAAATCGAGCACCAAGCCCAACGCTTCTTGCCCGGATTGCCGCAGCAGCTGGTAGGTGATGAGGAAGCTTTTCTGCATGTCAAGGTTGCATGTCAAGACGCATGATTGCCATAGGCCTAGCAGCTTGCATTGCTTAGGTGGGAAGTAGTGAAACTAGTGCACACTGACAAGTGGTCCATGTTTTTGTGCACCGACAAACCCTTGCTCTATGGGTAAGTCCTCGTCCAAGACGGCACGCGAAGTTGCAGCATGGCAGAGGAGCGAGAGTGCCCTAGACCACTCGCCTCGCACTTGCGCGTCTGCAAAGCATAGGTGCATACATCTCCCTCCCGTCCGACGTTTCACGTGCAAAAAGAAACTCTCGCAAGATGCAACCTATCCCGCATGATCCCCATTGGCCCATTACCACACAATGTCGCCTGCCGCGGACGCTGCAGAAGCAGCCGAGGTGCCTCGGGATGCTTTGCAACTCGTGCCAAGGACAGGCGTACTCGAATTCATCACGATATCAAGACAACACATCATGCCCGGACTAAAAGATCTGCAAGGGAGCTTGTCAAACGGCGGCTGAATGCTTGCGAGATGAGCAGCTGCTGGCGATATCAAGCTTGACGGCAAAAGCCAGCCTCGAAACCAGCAAACCAAGCAGAATTCGAACTCCTACAAACACTGGGTCTGCAGAAGAGAGCAATCCACGAAGTCCAATTGCAGCTCGAAATACACGAGATCCTCTGCCCTAAACCGCAGTGCGGCGTTCAGTTTAAGGTTAAAATTAAGAATATGGTGCAGGTTTATGGATGTTTACGGTGGCACATTGAGGACAGGGTGCGGTCTGAAGGTATTCATGCGTTTCGATGCGATAAAATGATCGTCCGACAAGCTTAGCCGCTAATCAGCTAATCCTGACCCGTAAACCCACAACCGACTCTCGGTTGAAGGCATGCTTTTTCTGCTTTTGCTGTGAATGGAACACAGCCCATGGCCCATATCATATGACATGCCCAGGCCAAGGGGCATCTCCATCAAGAGGCTGGCTGAGCGAATCCACTGACGACCATTCCTGAAGCGCAGAAGCGAACGGCCTTTTCTGCAATGCGCTTAGCTTCAGCTGGGCAATGCGTATTCCTCTCAACTGTCTAGCTTGTGCCTCGGCTAAGGCTTGGATATGTCTGGGGGGGGGGTCCTGCAAGCCCCAAGGGCAGCAGCGTTGCAATCTGCATCTCTTCCAGCACTGAGGGCGGCAAGGGCCCAATCCCAGGTAGAAGCCTCAACGTGACTGTCAACATCTCAGACATTATATGGGATTCGAAGGCGTGCTATCGTGATTGCTCTGGTCCCGAAGCGGTCGAAGGTTTCCAAAATCTCTTGCCGGAAGCATCCACTACATTTCGGGTGTGCGAGGCAGTCCGGCACCAATGTCCTGTCCAGCCCCCCCCCCCCGCCCAACCAGGCCCCATCTCGGCCTCTCTTTCGCTTCCGTCGGCCCTGACTGCCATGCCACAAGGCTTAATCCTCAAATCCAAGAGTAGGCCACATCTCTACAGCGGTCTACAGGCTCACTAAACCCCAAAATCTTGTTCATCAACGCCCTTGAGTCCTTGAGGACTTGATCAACCCCCCAAACCCTCCCCATCTTCCCCGCCGGACGTCAGGCGCCTCTGGACTCGACTGTCCCTGCCCCATGGACCGCCTCCCTGTGTGGACGTGGCGCGACCCCTCTTCGACAACACTTGCGCACGAGCACGTCCAATCACACGACTATATTGCCGGCAGAAACAAGTTGAACCTGCTGGTAGCTCCTCTGCTTGGGGCTACTACTATACCTGGAGATGTTCTCCTAGATCATCAACCCTTACAGCACCAACCGAAGCAGACTGACTGGTCCAAACGTCAAGTTCCGAAAAGGCGAAAGTGCACTAGTGCACGAGCTCAAGACGTGGTTACGAGGCACAATGCATCAACTTTCACCGGCTCTTTCAACTCTGTTCGAGATAATTAAGCTGGGCGAAAATCGGCGAAAAGCCGCACCTGCTGGCACGCGCGGATGGCTACGCAGCAGGATGTTGCTTCCACACTGCTCTGCTGCATCTGCACCTGCAGTCGACGCGGCGGTTGTTACAAAGCCTTGTAAAGCAAGCGCAGCGATGCAACACACTGTTCACTCCTTACGGTCCTCACCTTCGCAAAGTACTGCACGGCTTGAAGCCACTGTCCCTCTCTTGCTAAGTGACCTCACCAGCCAGGAAAAGTGGACGAGAACAAAAGACCTCTTCTCAAGCATCATGCGCAAGGTGTGCCTACCTGAGGCCTGACGCAATATACGCAATTTGAGGCAGGAAGCCAATGGCCGCGGTGTCGCTGGGTGCTGAAGCTCGCAAGCCGCCGGATTGCATTGCGTGGAGCATCGCCGAGGCAGCAGCCCAAGCAGCTGACAAGGAGAGCTGAGACGAAAGAACTGGACAAAACAGCACACCTAAATGAAAATGTCTCGCCATTCCTCCGACTCGACCACCATAAAGGGCAGCACCATGAGCGAAAGCATCGGTGGAAAGGCGCTCGCATGGCATCGCCTTTCATACTGCCAAAAGCGTTTGAAAGTTTGATTCGGCCACGGGCGCCTCTAAGGCCACGCTTGCATGGCGCCAACGATCTCCTGCTTGCCATGCCTTCAGTGCAGGACGAGCCAACCAGCAAGGTCGACGCAGTCGCAGCAACGGAGACGCGCTTTTTCTCCCATGCAGGCCGATGGTCTATCCCTAGGTCACAGGCATCACTGGCCCTAGGTCTCCAGGTCTGCGTGAAGTCCCCGCTTCTCCGATGTCCGAGTTGACCAAGCACAGTCCAAGATTGCAAATTAGCCAAGACGCCGCTGCGGTGTACGAGGTTGTGAGCTCCGAAGAACGACTTGCGGCCCGCATGAAAGAAAACAGTTCAGGACCTGACCTGTGCCCATCAAACTGGATCCTGCGAAGGCGGTGGCTCGATCTGTTGAGCGCATTGAGCACGCATCCGGAATGTCAGAATGAAGGGCTTGAAGGAGACCGCGTTGCAAACAAAGACAATAAAGGGTTTGCTGTAAAGGCTGTCGTCAGCAGACCTTGCAGGCTTGTTTCGAACCCACAGCTCCGGGGTCAAATCTTGAACCTGACGGCTGGGGTCCGTAGTGGATTCGATAGTGTCAGTTGCGACAAAATCTGCCAAACGTATCCGTTGTACGTCCTCGATGGAGGCAGCCTGGTGCCTGCATATGTCTGCATGGCTCTGAATACCTCGGCTTTGCAGGCTTTGTCCGCGCTATCCAGCAAGCCATGCTGTTGAAGCACCTGGCGAACTCGACCATCCATGGGGGCTTTTTGCCAGAGTCCTGCGGTCTCATGAGAAAGGAAAGCTATCCTCAGCTTCTCTTGCACTTCTTGAGCTGTCTCGTCTGGGCTTGGGAGCATGTCCAGCTTGCGCAAACAATGCTTGTTGTCACTCATGTTGGTAAAGACTAGCATCGCCTCGGCCAAATTCGAGTTTAAGCTGTCGTCGAGATACCCTAGCCTTCGCAAGACGGAGCCTGTCAAATCAGGTGTGTCCGGCACGATGAAAGGACCGCCTCCTCGGAAGATCCGTCTGGCCAGCACACTCCCATACCGGTTCACTTGCATGGAGGTGCCGCCCGGGGACGTTTTGGGAATCACGAAGGCAAGCCTCTTCCCGTATTTCTTCCACCGTTCTCCAGCTCTCTGCCTAGTTATCTCATGAACAGCCTGGGTGGCGCACTGTTGTGGAAACACTGCCAGAGGTCCCAGCCCATTCCTCAACCAGAATTTGGCTGCAGCATGAACTAAATAGCTTCCGTCATCGAAGGCCAAGCCCTGAAGAAATCCTCGGACATGCTCGACTTGTGCCGTGTTGTCACAGGAGATGTAGGGATCAGCGAACTGCACACTGCCAGTTCCGTCGGTGTGGAGAATAGCCCTGATCTTGGGACTGCTGTCCCGGACCGCTTCCAGCGACCGTACTCGAGCACCTGCTTCCTCGTATCTGCGAAGGACGTTGAACTTCCTGGACGGCACAAACACCTCCAGATCTGCCTTTGACGAAGCATCCTGAACGGCCGCCAGGAAACCGTTGTCCTGCACCAAAAGGGCAATGTGCCGTCTATGCGATTCATCAGCGAGCTCGGCGAGCCTGGCCATCAAAGCAGAATCATTCGCTTCTCCATCGCTGCGAGGCACTGGGCAGAAGTTTACACCAGTTTTTTGCATGAAGACGCGCCATTGCTTGTTTCTTTCCCTGTTCGGTGCTGCATAGATAGCAGTTCGAACCGTTCGCCCCTCTTCCTCAAGGTGCGCAATGGCGCGCTTAATCTCAGCCAGGCTGTGCGTATCAGCATCCACAAGGAGCTCTGTAGCCTCCGCAATGCCGCGGATGCAAGCCCGTCGAAGGCCCCAGCTGTTGCGAAGTCTCGAGTAACGTGCAAGACTTCTCGGTGCAACCTGCAAACCACGAGAATAGCTACAGCCTAACTCTTTCGTGAACCTTCTGTCCACTAGTACGAAAACTCTTCGTGACACTGCCTTTCTTTATAGAATCTCAAGGGTCTGAAGAGCAAGCGAAACCAAGAGAAGTGGACTCACTAACCCAACTGCCACCGACAAGCGCGTGGGTGCCAAAGCATTGTAGGGAGTCAGAACATGCCAAGGGCGCGTGTTGCCATGAAGCCGCAATGGACGGGGAGATGCTAGCCAATGCAACTACGTACTGGCTTGGCCCTGGAGAGACATCTTTGGACACCATCAAGTCAGCATGCTCCGCAAGGCCCTTTTGAGAATGTGTCTGCGCCAACTGCCTCCAACACGAGGCACGTGGCCACTGCATCATGGGTTCTCCGTAAAAGAAATTCAATTGGGAGACTATTGCGAGCGAGCTGCGTTGATGGTAACGGTGTGGCACACGGAATCCTGTCCAAGGCGGGCTTGATCATCCATCCAGATCATGTCATCGCTGGCGACTCTTGACCGTCAACCCTTTCCGAGTCCGGCTCCACCGTCGTCAATTGCAAGGACTCGAAAAGCCTGGTCAAAATCTCGCGAAAGACTACAGTGCACCAGCACAGCCGGTGACACGGACGTTTCATTCTCTTGCATGTCAAAATCGACGGCTCTTCAGGGCTACGTTGCCTGAGCGAAGCCTCCCAAGCAGCTGATTTGCCACAGGTGCACAAGGCCTCCAGTTCTCCAAGTTGACGATAAGGATCCGAACATGCAACGAGAAGCTCAGAGTTTTGTTTGCTATTTATTTTACAGCGTACGGTAAGTAAAATCTCAGCACGGCGTGCCAACCCATCCAGGTGCTGCGGCTCAATCGGTTTCATGAATTAAACTCGGTAGCCTTATAATAACAGTGATACTGAGATTGCATCCACAAACGAGTTTGTGAGCGAAGGCTTCATCCTTTACACTTGCAGCTACTGGTAGTAGCTGCCAGCGGCTCTCCGATTAGTCAAGCTGCATTGGATCGGCTCACAGCAGAAGGTGGCAATGCCACATCCTGCATCCGTGAGTTGAAACCAGTTCACGTTTTTTTCTTCACGGAAGGGGCATTGCTGCAGGTGAAAATCTCCTGGGAATGTCCAAGGATCCGCAGAGCAAAGATCCATGCGCAACCCTGTGCAGGGTAAGCCAGATCATCAGTGCGAGCAAGCGATGCCGGTAACGACTTCGGAAGTCCGGGAGTCCGACCTCCTTGTCGAGTTCTGCATCTACCCGCGTTCCACTGATTGTGGAGCTGACCTGAGATGGACGGCAGAACTTTCTGGGAGCAAGTTACTAGAGCAGCGATGACTCGAATGGCGCCAAGCTTCCAAACCTTGATCTGTTCGCAATGATAGCATACACAAGTCCTGCAGAAAACGATAAAAGAGCAAGTGGCCAGCAGTCAATGCTGTCTCTTTGCGCTTTCGTGAGGTCCTGCAGAAATGACCAGGCGGCTTGCCAAACTCCACCTGCGAAGCGGTGAACAGATCAGCCGTTAGCGACTCTGTCGCGCAGTCGCACATCTGAGGGCGGTCTAAGGAGTGGGCCTTGGGCACATGCATTCGCAGCAGCATTGGCGCAAACAACATCTGAGTCGATGTCCTGTGCGGGTCGGAGCGTTCCAGCACTGCTCCCCTTAAGCCTAATTAGTCCCGTTTCGGCCCAGCGGAAGACCTAGTCGGGAGAAGGTTTCAGGCAGGTGCTTCGAGATCGCGCCCATGGAACCAAAACACCTACAGTACAACACATGATAAATGATAACACATTGTCAGGCCAAGTACACTGCTGGGGCACATCCGCTCTGCGTCGGTCAAGTCGAGATTCATCGATCTTGGAATTATTCAGACAAGCACTTCACGGTTTGCAACCGACCTGGTGATGCAGAGCATATGCGAGCATGTTGTATGCGCGAGCCCGGCTGCTCGACCATTGCGCCACGCAATTGATGCTCGTAGGCTGTATTCGCTCCCAAATGCAGCCAGGGTTTCCTTCCCGATTCGGGATTCGGGACAGGTTCTGATTATCCAGATACTGCTCTTGTTGATGAGGGTCGTTTTCCGCGAAAAGGTCCACTTCGTATGGTAAGACGCATTTCCTGGCTCACATCTCTGGAAAGTTGGCTACCCTCGGTCAGATGCCGTTGTTTGCAGGTGATTGCCCCGCGACGGGTGGTACAAACAAGCAATCACTCCGGGTCTGTATGCGAAGGGTCAAGGTGTCGGCATATCGAAGAGTAGAAACTGAGCTCCCAACGATCCAGTGCACTTAACGCGGACATGGGCAAGAAGAAGCGCCGTATCTCTAAAATAACGCGAGAGTACCAAGAGTTGGCCTGTGGGTGAACTGTTCGAACAGCCGTAGTCAAGCAATAGCATGAGCTTTAACTTGTTGATTTAATGGCCAATGCAGGTGCTCCGTGTGCGTCGCCGGAAATGTATACCATTCCAAGACCAAGACCGTGTCAGCTTTAGGCCTGCCCGTCCTGCGAGTGTGCACTGGTCTTGGTCGCGTGTTGTCGCCATGCAACGTTACCTAATCTATAGGATCTGCAGGGCTGGGGCATAGTACAGTCTCATCAGCGCCTTTTTTCAAGTGGTACCGAAATACTCGAAGACACATCCTTCTTGGTTGCTTATATCCTGATACATGTCTGTGCGCATTAATTAGTAGCCTGACGGTCAACAAATTCAATAAATGCGGAGGCAGTTGGGGAACACGCTTCAGGGATTTGTTTTGAAAGGCATTCCGACTCTCGCACTAGCCTTTCATTTAACCCAGAAGTGTCGGCATTTGCGCACTCTAGCCCGTATAAAGGCTTCGACGTAACAACAGTGTTGAAGGCTTGGATGCTTTCGATACCGACGGTAAATAGCTGCTGCAATCATGGGCAGCGGAAGTTGCGACGGTCTGGTTGTCATGAACATCACTGGGCACGTTCTAGATTCTAGGCATTCTGGGTTGTCCACCCATGTTTCGGGTGACCTGCGTTGTGCCCCAAGTCGTTGGCTAACTCGAGAGGTCGACAGCCACAGACAGATTCAAGACGCTTTGAGGGACCATGATGATGGAAGTGCATTTCATAACGATGCAGCCAAGCCAAACAAGCAAGTCGTTCCGATCAGTGCCATGCCACAGAAGCGGGTCGCGGCGAACTGCTTTTGCAAGTATCCTTGTCAAATCCGGTGGTGATATAGCAGTGCGAGTAGCAGAAGACAAGTCATTTGGAGCCGCCAGTTGGAGAGGCTTCGAACGTCTCCATGTTGCAAGACGATTTCCATTGATACTTTCATTTCGAATGTGTGAATACTTACCGAGGAGGAGTTCGTAAGGCATTCTCCGTTGCAGCCCTGTTGTGGAGTTTCCCTATGTATGGATATGTATGCATATATTTTCATGTATTTATTTATCTATCTATTTCTCATTTATTTATCTATCTATCTATATGTATATATATATACATACGTGTGTATATATATATACATAACTGTACGTGGATTTAGGGCTTTCTGGATATATAAATATGAAAAGTGATGGTTATGAAGTCTTGTGTGGCTGTGCTGTAGTCACTGGCACCGGACGGAGTGCATAGGATCGGCCTTCTCTCTCATCTGCTGAAGCGCACGTCCAGCGAACGGCCATCTCTTACCAACACCAAGTGCGCCGAACAGCGCACTGAAAGATACCACATCCTGGACAGCTCTCTTCAACATCTGGTGACACAAAGACAAAAGCTAGCATACTAACCCAATGGCAGCTTCCCAGCCGGCTGGTGGCTTGCATGAGGTAAGTACCCTCGCTGGATGCCCTGCTTGCCGAGCCGCTGCTTGCGCCCGAGCACCTGGACAGGTGCAGGAAGCCTCACTGCATCCCTTACCAACTTTTTTTGCGCCTTGACACCGAGCGGGTAAAGGTGTGGACGTGTCACGGCTCGAGGGCTGCCCTGGAATCCCGAGCGGCCCTAGCGCCTTGCAGCGCTAGCAGCAGTGACAGCGCTGCTTCCCAGGATTGTGTCGATGCTGCGGCGTTCCAGTCTGGACTCAAGCTAAGTTGGGTCAGGCTGGACACTCATCAGGGGATAGACACGTCCATCTGTCTTTCTCGCCTCAAACCTCACCAAAACGTCAAGTCGCCGAGCCCCCTCAGGCCCTCACTGTTGACGACTGCACGATGCCCCACCAAAGCATCCTGCACGTTTTTGCAGACCTATATTAGCAGTTCTGCTTAGATGTATGCTACATGTGCCATCCGGTGCCCATTGCAGCGACAACGTGAATCAGGCACAAAATGCGTGGTTTCATGCTGCATCCTGCAGCAGTTGTGAGGCCAGCTGCCAGAAGTTCCGGCATGCGACGATGGCAGCATTGAAGCCTTTGAGATGAGGTCGGGCTCGACATCTCACATAAAAAGCTGAGTTCCACAAAGACCTGACTGTCGACCAAAGCCCAGCGGCTAACGGCGTCTGCCTCCAGAAGAGAGTCGTGCATCCCGTGCAGCAGATGCAACGCTGCCTGCCGATGTCAGCCAGAGCTCGTAGCAGCCCGAGTGTTCCCGTATGCCCGCTTCAAGCAAGCAGAAGCAAGATGTGGCAAGGCAGACAGTTGAAGGTGTGTTTGCAGGTTAATGTATCCCCACCGAACCGAAAGTACCCAGACTGGCTCGGCAGAGTGCCTCCCATTGTTCTGATTTGCCACAGGCACTGATCGCGGTGTTGAGAACAACGGTATCCGCGGCAACCTCGCGGGCACGCGAACGCTCATCATAGATTTTTTTGCGAGGAGCGCAACGACGCACGCAGCCTTCCATTCGGGCATGCCGGCGAGGAGTGCAAGTGCCACCTGCCAGTGGTTTCCTGCCGTCAGTCGCACTTCGTCCACCGAGACGGACGAACATGGCATGGCCGTATGCTTGGCGGTGCAGCTACAGGAGTCTGCCTTTCTCACAAGCACTGATGGCAGCGGAGAAGCTGAACCTGAGCTGGGGGCGATTCGAGGTTGGCGACTCCAGACCAATTACGCATCGAACGCAAGTAGGCCAGCGCATGACAAGGCACTTGTTAGGCCAAAGGTCATGCTGCACGATCTTCTGGAGATGGTCTACCGCAAAGCGCCTGGGCCGACACCAAGTGCAGGAACTTGAGAGACGTCGCCCCCGAATAAACTTGCCCTTCAATCGTGCCCATGGTGCCAATCACCCGTTCTGCCACATGCATTCAATACCTAAGTTTGGCAGAAGGGCGGATTATGAGCATCCAGTCATGTTCACCACCGTCTCGCCCACGACATGGGCTTCACACACAGACACAAGAGCTGTCCAATGCTATACAGTAACCGGCCAAATCAGGCTTCAAGCTGCTGCGTTGAGGTGGTAGATCTGTGGCCGAAGATTTGCCCTCACGAGGCCCTCGAGCTGCCAAAGAACCTCGTCACGAGCACTCATTCCACTCTACTGCAGCGGTTGTCGCATTGCCGGGCCTTCTCTGGTGGAGCCTGCCTCGCCAGTCGGCTCAAGGCTGCCGCAGTGTCGCCGCTGTGGCGCGGGGAAGGCCGCATTGCGCGACCATGACCGGCCAGTCGCGCGAAGGGTCGACTACAGCTGACCGAGCCAAAACAGACCCTGACGAGTAACGCTGGCATTGGGCAAACTTATGCAAAGCAGTGCCTTTGTGTTACATAGCTAAAGCGGCTGAGATTTGACCAGCGACCAGACATGACCAAACATTGTCATTGACAGCAGTCCTGATGCTAGCTCCATGACGGCATGCGAGAGTCCAAGCAAGCCAAGCTCGTTGCAGAAACTCCAGGTGAACCTCTCCGGAAGTCACATTAAGATGCAGCGAGCAAGATTCTGCTGGCGACACCGTGCCAACAAGTGAGCAGATGACGACTGTGCCAGCACGGCCTTATACGGCTTATCTTCAGACAGCAAGTAGTATGGAACTCCTCTCTTTCGGATGTTGCCGTAAAAAGGTCTGGCCTTCCATCACTCGCCACGCATTAACAATCCAATCCTCGAGAAGTGAATCACAACCTACCTCACGACTCGCACAGCTCGAGCAGCCCGCATGCTGGGTTCGGGACTGGGCACGGCCGGCAGACATTTTCATTCGGGCCGCATGTCAGGAGCTGCGGAAGCACGTGCAACAAAACCCCTAAAAGACCGAGGCAGAGGTGTGAGGGTTACCGGCGTCTCGGGCTGCAGCGGGCTGCACTAGGAGCGTAAACCAAGAAAGCAATTGATCTCATCTTATGAGCATCTTGCAAGCATGTCAGAACGGATGCATGGAGGGAGATCGATACCCCCAGCAATGCGTAAGCGCGCTGGGAGATCGTGCCTCGGCATAGCAGGGCTAAGCTTCTATGGCACAACGGTCTACTGCATGAAGTCCTGACGTGCTCGATGCGGCTTTCGCACAGCTGGCTTCTTTGCATACTTTTCTCCACTTTCAGCACTCCGCACCAGGTACCGGGGCGCTTCCTCACGAAGCGCTGCGAGGCCGCCCAACAAGCACACCACATGCCTTGCGAGTGTGAGAGTTTTCCAGGTATTCCTGACCCACTCACTGCATGCAAGAAAGACAACAGCTTCATACCTGTCACAAGAGCCAACTGCAAAAGCAAGATCTCGTGGATAAGCGCAGCTCAGTCACCGGATACCTTCGCTTCGAAGTCGTTCCGCAAAGTCGGTGCCCAAGTCTTCCCCACCCACCACGACCACCTCAACATGCAGACCGTGTTTATGATGCATCAACAGGACCGTCGCCTGAAGCACTTCCACATCGTGGGCTAATTACTTGCAAAAAAAGGACATATGGTACACATGTCAGGAAGGGATGGCGAACACATCGCTTCTGCACCAGTAGTGGATAGAAAGAACACTCGCATGTTGAGGGACGGCGCTCCGCAAGCATCAATTCTTCACCGAGAAACATGTAACTAACACAATCAGGCTATCCCACTGATGGCTACAATAGCCCATCTTAAGTGAGGTTAGAGTAAAGTCGCCGTGAATGGTGTCTTGACGAATCTGCAACTTGCGTGCGTCGTTGCCACTTCAAGCACCACTAACAGGCACTGCCAGGTCGGTGTCTGTGGGGGCTTTTCTCTGCGGGGGTGGGTTGGGGGGCCGTTGCTGTATGCACAAGCCTGAAAGTGTGGGAATCACGCGTGCTTCTTTCAAGTTGCCTTTCCTCAGGATCTACATGCGGCACCCGGAATTTGGGAGCTGCTAGCGAGGGAACTCATGGGCCTGGACGACACCATCGGAGAAGATGGAGTTCTACCCCCAAGTGGAACCTCAAGAAAGTACGAGGCTTAGGGTCGCCCCCCTTTCCCCATAGGACCGAGCAGCACCGACGACGACGACGACGTAAACCATGCGTGCAGTATGGTAGAATGCCAGAAGTCCAGAAGGCCAGCCATAATTACAACAACCGCGATTCGCGACCCTCTGTTCTGCTAGCACGCCAGACAAATCAGGCCTGTAAGCGCATTATCGTGTTGTATACATGAACGCTCTGAGGAAGCGCGATGGGTGCGATATCGTGCGTGGAGCGTGCCAGAGAGACAAGAGAGAGGAAATACACAAACAAGAACCGTTAAGTGACCTCCCTGACGCCCAATATGGCAAGACACGAGACGCGGCCGGAGATCCTTGCCCAGCCAAGGGGGCGCTTCTTCAGGGCCTCGGAGGGTTTGACGCATTCTGAGGTGTTACGAAAGACTTCCACTTCTGCCAGTTGTCACTGCACAGACGAGGATCTACAGCTGGCTGCACTCCCTCGAGTTCTTTCTGGAACATTTGAGTTCCAAGCTGCTGGAAGCGAGCGGCTCAGATGCAGCCGCACTTCCTCAAAGGGACCCGTGCGCATCAGAATTTGGGAAACAACGCCTGCTAGTTACTCCTTGAGTTCTTGCCTTCAGCACTTGCTTGTACTCCACTTGCTGATGTGCTTGTCTTCTGCAGGGACGGTGAAGGCGTACCGCACTGCGCCCTCAGACAGGAGGCAGGAAAGGCGGGAGGTGCCGATGTGCATCCAAAATCATGCAAAGTCAGAAACAACGTCCCACCACACAAAGTACACATCTGAACCTTCTTAGATCAAGCATCACTAGCTCTTGTGGCAAAGTCCTCAGCAAGTCCAGGACGTCCGCATCCTTAACGTGGATACTGGATTGGAAATGGCAGTCGGCGAACTCCTCGCTTGAGCGCGCATCCAGAACATAGCAGCAGCTTCGAAAGCTGAGGAGGTCGTCCACAGTGATGATGGGAGGAGTTGGGCTGTTGTTGATTCTCTGCCGCCACCATTCGCACTGGCGCCACTGCTCCGTGGCATGCTGCAATAGCTGTTGGTGTGGAGATGTCTCACCGTCTTTAAGCCCGCTTGGATCAATCTTTGGATCAATGCACGGGTCCATCGAAATTGAATCGAGATATCCTGAGTTCTGACACAGCACTTGGACCTGGACATAATTCATTGACGAGCAACGCAGGATAATCCAGGCAACTCATTGTTTAACAACAGTAGCCAAACTGCCCTTATGGAAAGATACGACTTTCAACCAAGGGTCCCCAATCGGGATCTGCCGCTGCCATCGCGGTAGAACCATGCTCCCAGAGAAGCGCCTCGCCGGCAGAATGCCGCGGGAACACCGGCAGCGTCACAGAGGCCGGAGTGGCCTGGACTCGGCTAAGTCACAGAGCCCCTGGACAAGCGAAGCTGGGATGCACACGCCTGAAAAAGAGCGACCGCAGAGGAGACCAGCACTTGACAGTCGACGAGCTGAGCACAACTGGCCAGGAAGCTGGCGACGTGGGACGCTTCCTGCGAGGCCCCCACAGAACAATAAGTTTCATGCTAACAGACCTGAGTCCCATGTCGCGGGGCATCCTCCAGCGCCAACAAGGAGAGCCTGAAGAAATGCACCAAGCAAACCTCGGAGTCTAGTTGTTTCCGGTACTGACACAACTCAGAACCTTACGTACTTTCCCCGAGGGCCTGTGACCTCGGATGATTAAAGTGATTTAGTAGTGACAGAGACGCCGGAAAGCACTGGAGTTGCAAAGATTCGTTCTCACAGTACCCTTCTAGTGTGCTCATTTTGATAGAGGAGCTCCAACGAAAAGCGAAAACTGCGGCGGCCGCAGGAGCAAAGCATCCCACAAACGCACAGCCTGCATACTGCACACAGCGAATGACATGGCGGAGGCCAAAAGCAAGCACTCCGGCCCGTGTGGCCTGCGATTGTGGAAGAAGCTGAGCGAACCAAGTCGAGAACCAATCGCTCGCATAAGCCTGCGAGATTGGACCGCGATGGAGAAACAGGCAGCCGCTCTGAGCCACGCCTCCGGTTCCATGCCCAACTCCTGCAGATGAAGCGCCAGGATTGGATCGGCAAAACCCAGCAGAGCCCCAAAGAGTTGCAGATAGTGCCTCGGCCAGGGCATGCAGGGCCAGGTGGCACGCAAAAATTGTGCGGCTCTCACTCCGCTCGGTGCCTGCGCTGTGCTTTGCCATCGCGACCGTAGAGCGGCCAAAGAAAGCCGTGGAGGATTCGCTGCGCTGCCAAAAAAGCTGCTGCCTCCTCAAGAAAGGCTGCCAAACCTACACAGATTCTCGGAGGAGGATGGCAGAGCACCTCGGCACCGAAGACGGCGGCAATAGGCTGGCACAATACCCCAAGGCCTGACAGAGGACAACGAAAAGTGCGAGTTGCCGAAGTTCTTGCACATGTCCAGGGCCTGTCGCGCAGCGCAGTGAGGGATTGGCGGTCAGCACGGCCCGGACCTCAGCGCATTCTGGAAAGTGATAAAAATCTGGCACCTCGGGCACAGTGTCAAAAAAATCCGCGACGATGCAGGAGATGGTGTGTCTAATTGTCTCCAAGTCGCAATTCTCTCGAGCCTGGCAATGACTGAGCCCACACTGTGGGACTCGCCTGTCTTTACAACGGCGCAGAACTCGAGCATGGACTGCAGCCCTCGCAAGCATGTTGTCGCCCACCTCCTCTGATGCCCTGGTGCTTTTCTTGCCAGCCTGCTGCAACTCGTAATGTCAGATATATGCTACTGTTCTTCCGTGCGGCTCCTCTCGCAGGCTCCAACGTTCCCCACGCTACTTCAGAACTTTAGCAACCCCCATGAGTATGCACGATACCACTGAGTCATCTGGCTTCCGGGTGATGCAAGACCCTCCAGGCATCTTCGCTTTGCCTTAGTCCTCGACCAGGCCTTGGATGCAAACCATGGCTGTTTGCAGGATGTCCTCCTGCCGGCTGGTGCGGTTTGGGAAATGCCAGGCCAAACCTGAAAAACTCGAGGCAGAACCCAACCAGAGTTCAAAATCACTTCCGACATTGCATATTGCATCCCGGCTCTCCTTAGTCCTGGAAGCCTACAGGCATCCCCGTGTCCTCCGCAGCTGGAGTTGCCAAAGCATTCGAGCTGCCGCGATGGCCCAGTAGATGGGCATGGCCCAGTTGATCTTGGTTTGTTTAAGGCGATATATCTCAACAAAGTCAAATTGGGAACCTGAAAACTCAAGCGACAAAACTCACGAAGCAGAAATGAAATGAAATCGGTAGCTACAGCGCAACATGATTTTCTTCATTTTTCTTCCATCCAACGTGTCTTCCCCGTGTTTCCGCAGAGGCCCCGTATGCCGCCCAGGATGCAAAAGAGCCCCGCATGGCAATCCGACCCCACTGCGAATATCGCACAGCACCCCTGCCCGGTCACCGCCTCGCAAATTCAAACTAAATCTATTGCAAGTGTCCCCTCTTGATCGCCCCACCAGCCCCGATATCGCAAACGAGAACCGTAGAGGGTTTTCGGGGAAACATGCTGCATGTGCAGGATACTGCAGGATAATCTTAGCCGAGCCACCTCGGCTTTTCAAAGGCGCAGTGAGTAGATTCCTTACACTTTGAAGGACGCTGTCGTGGAACACTCAAAATCTCAGGCAAACTAGGGGCTCATAGAAGGGTGCCCAGCAAGCCTGGTCCACCGCTGAGGGAGCGCCCCCTAGCAAAGCCTCAAGCTGCACAGCTCACCAAAAGCAGGGACTCTTATGCCCACAGTCACAGCGGTCGTTTGCAAAAATTCCACCAACGCAGTCCAGGCACGGACCAAATCTCGGAACGTAAAGCTGGTGGAATGTCCTCGCTGGCCTCGGGGTAGTACTCTGTCCATGCAACAGGAAGCCACATATTCACGTCTTCCAGTCACATCCTACATGCGACCCCGCCGCTTCGCGAAATAGCTCCATGCGGTTGGTCCCTGCCAGCAGGCGGTGGAATCGGCGCACACGCAACCACTGATAGCCGAAGTGCTTCTCCTGCGCAGTTTCGAAAGTGACATTGACAGTCACGTGCTTATGTAAGAGACAAGCATCGCCAAGTCACGTGCCGGACTTACATCGACATCTTTGACTCCAGAGTGAGACTGCGAGCAAGCATTGCGCACACATGTCTCTCGGCCCTCCCGGCTCCCTGTCGTAGAGAGATGTTGGCTGCAGGCTGAGATGGTCCAAGCTGTGCCGGTCAGCTGCCGCGCAGGCACAACAAAGTGAGTGCAAGCCTGGGAACAGGGAGCACAAGCAATAGCCACTGGTCACTCGTCCCACCCCCAGCAGCGAATTTGTCCAAGAAGCAAACGCCAATAACTTTGGGCTTTGCTTCACATGGGGGATCCCAAAACTCCATCCCTTCCTGCGCAGGTGATGGTGCCATGCAACACCGCGTCGCGGACACCAAGAAGGCCTGGCCTCTACTGCAATCGGCTTCTCGGTGCCTGCAACGAACGTATCGGTCTTCAGGGGTCGCGACTTGATGTGCATGCAACATGCAAATCAAGGTTTAAGGCTTACGGCCCCGGGATTAGGGTTTTTCAGTAGTAGTAGTACTAGTAGTA